CATTTTATTTAGTTGTTTCTTTCAGAATAGTATTAGAAGGATTTGAAGAAAAGATTTGCTCTATTTTGTTGTTTTTTTTTTTTGTTACTGGAGTGACAGGTAATAAGTTATTTATAAAATGGCTATTAATTTCCATAGGAGCAAAAGTCTTACTGCTGTTTACTACTATGCAGTTGTTGGGAATTGGCTAAAATTTGAGGAAAGTTTATTTTTCTACCACTCTGTTTCTTTCCCTTTTCTTTCTGAGAAACCTCAAAATAAGCTAAAAGAGCTTAAGATTTAAGTCATTTTTACTTTTAACACTAACAGGGGAAGTAGCAGCTTGGTGTGTATGTAGTAATAAATGATAGCTCAAGAGCCAGAGAACCTAGATCTCTTCTATTCTCTTTTGGAGTCTCTCATACTCCTTTTTTCTAAATGAGAAAAAAATACAATAAAGGAAGATGGTTATATTTCTTTACCTGAGAGGGTGATGAACGAATGAATATACAACCTTCTATGTCTATGAATATTACATTGCTCTAGTATTAATATGTCCTGTTGGAAATATTTATTAAGACTTACTGTAGCAGCATTAGCGCTCTAAAAACAGATTATTTTATGTGGCAACATCAATAAGATTCCTGGAACCACTTGTTAAAATGAGTAACCATCTAGATTTCAGTTACCCCCGAGTGTACCCGCAGTGCATCAATCAGCATGAAGTCTGAACAGTTAAATTTGGTGTTTTCTGTGTAAGCAGTCCATCAATTCCTTATTAATAACTAATTATATTTCATAAAATCTGACTAAATGATGTTTTTAATGCCTTGCTTAAATTTTAGAGAATGATATATATGTATATGTCATTCTAATACATGACTTTATAAGATTATCTATTTTAATACTTACCATAATGTAAATTGAGTATGTAGGCATTTCCAACTAGTAAAAAAGATACTCCTCCCAAAGGTGACCTTACAAAAAGTGGAAAAATAACATGAGTTTCAACTTGGCAAAACATATGAAAAAGTATTTCTGAGTCACAAGATGAGTCAAGAGGGTGAGGTTTGTTTTGTTTGTTTTGTTTTTTCCTCTTCCATCTGTTCTAAAGGGAGTCTGATCCCAGGCAGTAGGAAAAAAATCTTTGATGAAAGTTGGTGCAAAAAGTTAGAATTTGTTCTTTAATATTTTAACTTGTACTAAGTACAGATTTAAAGTAGTACTTATAGCATAAGTTTGGGCTATTTCTGAGATTTGTGCTGAGATTGGTAAATGGTGATATTTCAAGAATTGAGACCCTGTTTCATAGTTGAGGATATGTTTAATCCTGCAGCACAGCTAGTCTACTGTGCTGACCAGTGGAAGTGCTGTATAACTCCTTCTCTGGTGACAGTAACTACCAAAAAGTCACTTTGTTCCATACCTAAAAGAACGATTTTTACCATTTGTTTTTTGAAAGGTAGCTTTCTTAGATCTGGACCTTAAAAAATACTCATGGCATGGCCTTCCAGGCTAGCTTTTAAAAGTATAATTATGTAGGTACAGATTCCTCCAGTTGTTATCTAGCCTCACCTAGAAAGTAAGTACGGAGTAATGTACTTTGTGTCTTACTCATCATTGTAATCCAAGCAGGAAGGAAGGGGGGACGGAAAGGGAGGAAGTAAATGGGTGGTTGAAGAATAGATAACTAACTGCCTTCTTTCAGATTACACTGCCTTTTTAAAGAAGCTCAATTCGGCTTCATGGGGTATGTGAGAGTGGTGATGAAAAGATTAGATGGAGCTTGTTCCCTCCAAGTCATACTTCAGGGGCTTTTTAAAAAGCTGGTTACTGTTAACTGAAAGTGTGATCACTGGCACATTGCTTTGCCTCTGAGGAAAGTGTTAACTACTCATACAGAACAGGTATCAACTATTTGGTAATATTTCATAAGATATTTAAAGCAAAAGAGAGTGAGTGGATTTTAAATGTTGCTTAAGGGCTTTTGCCAGAGAGTTGAGTTAATGGTATTCATAACTATAAGATACACAGTTAATAATCCCTTTTTTAATTACAGAAAGATTTTTTTTTATTACAGAAAAAACTACAGATAGTGGTTTCATAAATGGAGAGTTTAGGGAAGAACATTCCAGCAGAGGATTTATAGGGAAATGGAGGCATGAAATTGATAGTGTAGAAGAATTGTGCCCCGGGCATTGTAGCTAAAGTACAGGTAATGGGGGAAGAGAAAGATGGAAATTTAAATTGAGGATGAATCTTGTTAAGGGCTTTAGACTTAACTATCTTGTTTGCATTAGGAAGCCACTAGAAATTATTTAGCACAAGAACTAGCAATTTGGCATTGTAAAGAAGGATGGATTGAATCAAGTATACTTATTTGATGATTTATGGTTCATCTTTATTATTATTAATATTCTTAATATTCCTTATTCATCAAGACTGGAATGCTGTCGTCTAAATTAGTGGGATTTTCCAGATAATTGAAACATAATTTTTCAAGCACCTTGGTGTCAATTTTATAATGTAACTTTCTAAACTATTACTCATGGCCTAGTCTCAGTAAACAGAGTTTAAGTTTCTGTAACTGTTCCAGCACTACATTTCTTCCTTTCATCTTCTCTTTTGAGATACACTCAGAGCTGTTGCTAAATGAAATGATCCCAATTTGTCTGCACTTGCATGTGGGGACATCTCTTTCCACTTGTAATCTACATTAGTTATCCATCATATTCAACTTCTTCATCACTTTTTCTGGCGTGTGGTTGTAAATTAAGGCAAAACTAAAGATTTCTGAAGGAAAATAGTTTTAGCTAATACTTGGTATATATGTGAGATTATTAAGGCAAGCATGGAGAGGTTATCTTTAAGCAAAATCTGTGAACTCTGAGAAACTGTTCTGAAAAGTTTCCTGATTGGTTTCTGGTTAGATAATTAGAGTTTTACTTTATATACTGAAGGCATTTGGATCAATAAATTTTATTTATTCTCTTTAAATACAATACTTTTTAAAACATTTATTGAGCATCTGGTATATGCAGTATACAGAATACCAATGAAGAAGCAACAGACTCTGCCCTGATATGGGGGAAACAAGTAAAGACAAGTGAAAAGCATTTGTGGGACTTAATTTTTTTCCCCCGCAAGTAGCAAGAGTACCTAATTTCATCATGGAAAATTGGAAAATTAGGTTAATTTGAACAGTTTGCTTTTATCATCTATTCCACTAAAGATGGAATACTCTTTAAACAGAGGGATAAAATGCTCTCTGCACTTGATGTGTTCATGAAGTGTGTATTCGAATTTTTGATTAGATTTTTGTAAATATATTGTATGTTTTGCTATTTGAAGCAGTGTTTAAAGGAATCATTAAATGTATTTCTGCTGTCGTACAATATGTGCATCCCTGAAAAACCTCACGTGTTGCAAAATCACATGTCTGGGAAAAATATGGAGAGGAGGGTAGGCCACTCATGGACTTATGTAACAGAGTACTAACAAAAACAGTAATGATCTTAAAAATACTAGCACAAATTATGTCTGTATTTGTATTAAGCACCATAGCCAGACTTACCCTTCATACCAGCCAGGGCTCCTGCTGCCTGTTTTGAGTTGTAAGTACTTGAGGCCACCTGCTTTAGCAGAAACTAATTTTGTAAAAATAAGTAATAAGCCAGGGTATAGGCACCTTTATTGATTGCATTTTGGAGAAGCAGTAGACAAGAGAAATTGTCTTTGCAGCTTGTTCATATGCACCCTTCCTTTTTACCAAATAACAATGTGGAAAGCCTCAAGGTTCTGAAGTCCACTGAACTTGTCATTTTTCTCTGAAGGAGGAAGGTGTTTGTTGTTTTCTGAAGTTTTCATATTTTATTAAAACTGTCTCTTTAATTTGAGAAAGTTCCCCCCTTTCCTGTCATAATGTACCAGGAAAAACCCCTGTGAACCAGTAACATTTTTTTGCTCCCTTGACATCACTCCCTTCTTTATCAATTGCATATGAACTAATTTATATAAGAGCAACACCTTGTAGTTGTACAGTCTATACTTCAGTAATGCAGGTAAACTATAGTTTCTATTACATTTTAGCATAATATTTTTATATTTTAAAAATAACATTCTTTAACTTTTACCTTTTTATAATGAGGATATCATATATTTGAACTTTGAAAACAGTTTGCAATCTCAGTCTCCCATATTGTGGGCTATAGTATGTGTGTACTCAGAGTATATGACTTGTTAATTTTCTTTTTAATAATAGGTGATTGTGTGTACATTTTAAAATATATAAGTATTGTGATCAAAATTATTTTTATGAGTCTGATTTTTTAAAGGAATGAAAACAATATAATTTAGAAGAAAATGAGGATTTTTCAAGAATGCATATGGATAAGAGACCTGATACTAAATTTTTATAATGTAATTAAACATTAAGTTGCTTGGTAATTTTTTTCCTCCTTTTAAAGCATCGAAAGTGAATTTTGTTAGCTTGTGCTTCCTTTGGTTAAGGAAGTAGAGCTGTGTCTATTTCCTCATGCTTGCGAAGAGTATCCCTGGAAGAATAGCCAAGAATCTGGCAACTTTGCCTCTAAGGAGAGAAATTGGGTGTCTACAGGGTGGGATGGGAGGGAATCTCTGAATTTTGAACCATGAACTATCATGAATAAAATAAGTTAACACTTAAAAAAGATAATTGAATCAAGGGGCTTTGGTTCATAACAGAGATTGACTTAGCCTGCCTAATAGGAACCACCTGACTTCCATGATCAGCTTAGCATTGTCATCCTATAATATCTTGGTACTCAGCATAGAGCTGGTTTTATGTTATGGCAGGTGCAGACAAACAAAAGGGTAACAAAATAAAATTATTTATGGTGTACTTTTTCTGTTACAGGGAAATTACTAGTATGTATAATAACTCATGAAATTAAAAATTAAACTGTTGGTTAACTGCTGAATTTTTTCCCCATAATTATCATAAAATCATTGAAACTCTTACTACCTCTTTTGTTTCCTTTTAGTTGATGCTGATGAAATTAAAAGGCTAGGAAAGAGATTTAAAAAGCTTGATTTGGACAATTCTGGCTCTTTGAGTGTGGAAGAGTTCATGTCTCTGCCTGAGTTACAGCAGAATCCTTTAGTTCAGCGAGTAATAGACATATTCGACACTGATGGGAATGGAGAAGTAGACTTTAAAGGTAAGAAAGTACTTAACATCACGTTTGATAGTCTATGAGTATACTTACAGTTCTTGTTTGAAAATGTCTGAAATTTTAATTTTCCTTAAATGTCTTTATATTGTTGGTGATCGTAGAACAGTAGGTTATGTTAAAATCTCAAAGTGTGGGATATGAACCTTAAACTTAAAATCTTTTACTTCTTGGTTCATAAATGATAAAATTGTCTAAGGTAATTTTTAAAAATGGGAGTAGTATTTCCTTTGTTTTTAATAAATTTAGTCTCACTGTAGGGAAACAAGATATTAGGAGCTATATTTTTTTAAACCTTTTTTAAAGAATGGGACTAAGCAATAAAAAATAAACTATAGTAATAAAGGTATGAGTATTATAGAAAGGATTTATTTGTTTCAGTTAATCTAGATTTTACAAAGATACTCAATAGTGCTTTTGCTAGTATTAACATGATATGTAATTTTATGTTTGAAATCTATCCTTTCAAGTAGATAGACATTTCATTTCACTGGGGCATCATCAACAGATTTTATTATTTCAGTTTCAGGAGCTGAATTATAAGTGAAGGGATCTAAAACTGTAATTTAGTGTTTAGCAGACATTGGGAAAAAAGAATCATTTTCAAAAAATTTTCGGCAGTTTAAGTTCTGAGTTTTAGAACCAGAAGTTTAAAATAACTTTTGTTCTGGCAAAACAACATAGAATCTGTTGGCAAAGCTCTTTTTTATAATCGTTTCCAAATAGCTTATAGAATGTTTTTGAGTGTTATTCTTTATGGTACTTAATAAATATTTGTTCAAATTGATTTGATCTTGGAGGATTCCAAGTTCAAAGTTAAAGTTACTCAAAGTCGTGTTTGTTGAAGATTCAAATTTGGCATTTTCAGTTTTAAACACTGCTAGTAATATTTTCTTTTACAAAAAGAAAATATCCTTTGGTGGAGATGTAAATTTTGTGTGGGTGTGTATTGCTTTTCTATAAATAAAAGTGGAAACTTCTGATTTATAAACATTTTTCTATTCAGAATTCATTGAGGGAGTCTCTCAGTTCAGTGTCAAAGGAGATAAGGAGCAGAAGTTGAGGTGTAAGTATTTTTCTTCATTGAGCTCATTCTTCCTCTTACAACACTACTACTCTATACTGCATTATAACCTCCTTTTAAAATACTCTAAAGATGTCTTCTATTCTAGGTCCTTTAGTAGACAGCAAATTTTACATTCTGGAGAAAATCCTTTTAGGTAATTTTTTTAGTCAGTGGGAATATCATGCACCCGTTTTATCTATCTATCTATCTATATCTATCTATCTATCTATCTATTTATCTATTTAGGTGTCATTAATCTACAATTACATGAAGAACATTATGTTTACTAGGCTCCCCCCTTCACCAAGTCCCCCCCACCTTCCCCTTAAACAGTCACTGTCCATCTGCGTAGTAAGATGCTGTAAAATCACTACTTGTCTTCTCTGTGTTGCACAGCCCTCCCCGTGCCCCCCACGCACTATACATGCTAATCGTAATGCCCTCTTTCTTTTTCCCCGCCCTTATCCCTCCCTTTCCACCCATCGTCCCCAGGCCCTTTCCCTTTAGTAACTGTTAGTCCATTCTTGGGTTCTGTGATTCTGCTGCTGTTTTGTTCCTTGAGTTCCTTTGTTCTTATACTCCACATATGAGTGAAATCATTTGGTACTTGTCTTTCTCCACCTGGCTTATTTCACTGAGCATAATACCCTCTAGCTCCATCCATGTTGTTGTGAATGGTAGGATATGTTTTTTTCTTATGGCTGAGTAATATTCCGTTGTGTATATGTACCACATCTTCTTTATCCATTCATCTACTGATGTACATTTAGGTTGCTTCCATATCTTGGTGTTGTAAATAGTGCAGTGATAAACATAGGGGTGCATCTGTCTTTTTCAAACTGGAGTGCTGCATTCTTAGGGGAAATTCCTAGAAGTGGAATTCCTGGGTCAAATGGTATTTCTATTTTGACCATTCTGAGGAACCTCCATACTGCTTTCCACAATGGTTGAACTAATTTACATTCCTACTAGCAGTGTAGGAGGGTTCCCCTTTCTCCACAACCTCGCCAACATTTGTTGTTGTCTTTTCAATGATAGGGATCCTTACTGGTGTGAGGTGATATCTCATTGTGGTTTTAATTTGCATTTCTCTGATGACAAGCGATGTGGAGCATCTTTTCATGTGCCTGTTGGCCATCTGGATTTCTTCTTTAGAGAACTGTCTATTCAGCTCCTGTGCCCATTTTTTAATTGGATTATTTGCTTTTTGTTTGTTGAGGCGTGTGAGCTCTTTATATATTTTGGATGTCAATCCTTTATCAGATCTGTCATTTAT